TCAATAGGCATGACCCAACATATGGGCTTGACCGTGAGGGAGAGTGTTGGAGTCCCACACCGACTAGACACGCTCAAGCCTATTGGTTTATAAAAGGGGGTAATCCTTCCATTCAACAAGGCCTTATTGACTGAGGAGTCAGACCCACCTTAAATTCTATCACACCTTTAGCGGCATTTGGGCAAATCATTGGCAACTATCACAATGTTTGGAGTAGTTGGCCAAGTTGGATCGTATTGTAGGCTAATAGTAGCCGGTCGTGAGTGCCTAATTGGCAAGGCTACATCCCTTGGCATGGTTGCCACACTTGCCTTTATGGAGCTCTACAAGTACATACTTAGCTTCCTCAGGGGTGATGCACTTGAGGTATGGATTTAAGAAGGATCTCTTGAGCAGACGACCATCATGGATAGTGAACCGAGTCGAGTTAGCCTTCAATCGGCGTGCTTCATTTTTATCAATAGGAAGCTTATCGTTTTCAAAGTAATAAAGGATGGGTGTCATCCATGAATTGTCCGAGCTAACAGGTGATACTTTGATAGAGCCCTTCACACCAGCTGGCCATTAGAGGTAGACCAAATGGATTGATGTTGATGATGACGTTTAAAGAGTCGAGCTGAGTTTTGCCAAAACATTAGCATGTGTGTTTTCAGTCCTTGGGACTTAGGTGGTGGTGATCTCTTCAAACGTTGACTATAGTTCCTTGGCCAGGTTGAGGTAGGTTGTCATCTTATAGTCTCGAACCTGGTAGGAGTCGTGAAGCTGATTCATGAGCAGTTGTGAGTCAGACTTAACCTCAAGTTTCTTGACTCCATTTCCTTTATGAGGGAGAGACTGGTTATCAATGCTTTGTATTCGATTTCGTTGTTGGTTTCCTTGAAGCTGCAATAGATGGATTGTTGAATGATATCCCCCTCTGGAGAAGTGAGGACAAGTCTTAAGCTACTGCCATTGACATTATTTAAGCTATCCATCGAGAGGGCTCACTTGGATGATGCACGGTCAGTTAGACACGGTAGCTCCCTCTCCGCCTAAATTGAAGTGTTAGGTGTGAAGTTGGCGATAAAGTCAGCTAACATTAGAAACTTAATGGTGGTGTGTGGCTGGAAGAAAATGTCGAACTCACTCAACTCAACTGTCCATTGGGTGAGCCAACTTGAGAGCTCTAGTTTATGAAGGATCTTCGTTAAGGGGAAGGTAGTCAAGACCATGATGGGGTGGCACTGGAAGTACGACCTTAGCTTCCTTGAGGCAATGACTAAAGCAAGTGCGAGCTTCTCAAGTTGGCTGTAGCAAGTTTTTGCATCAAGTAGGGACTTGCTAGTGTAGTAGACAAGTAGTTGTTTTCCCTCTTCTCCACATATTAGCAAGGCTGAGATGGCCATCTCGGATACAACCAAGTAAGTGAAGAGTTGTTCACTTGATTTTGACTTAGAGAGTTGTGGAGGTGAAGTCAAGTACGTTTTGAGCTATGCTAATTCCTTCTTATAGGCTGGAGCCCATTCAAACTTCTTGGACTTTCTGAGGGAGTCGAAGAAGAGGTGGCACTTCTCGACTGACTTTGAGATGAATCGGCTCAACACGGCTAACCTTCCAGTGAGGCGTTGGACATCCTTGATACAAGTAGGTGAAGGGATGTTGAGCACCACACGAATATGATTAGGTTGGCCTTAATTCCGTGCTGAGTAACCATATAGCCAAGGAACTTCCCAGAGGAGACGTCGAACGAATACTTAGCGGGATTAAGCTTCATATTATACTTCCTTAGCACCTCGAATGCTTGCTTAAGGTGATCAAGGTGATGCTTGGAGATCAATGATTTCACCAACATGTCGATAATGTACATTTCCATGGAGTCTCCTAATAAGCCGGCGAACATCTTGTTCACTAGTCGTTGGCAGTTGCCCCGACGTTCTTTAAGTCGAATTGCATCACCTTGTAATAATAAATGCCTCTCTCAGTAATTTTGTTTCTCTTAGAATGAAGCTAATTTCTTTTTTAATTTATTCATAGTATTCTTGCATCCTATATTGTGGACTTAATTTTAAAAGAAATGTCTGATAATTGAAGGAAAAAAAAAAAAAAAACCTTAAATAGAGAAATATTATGTTACATGTACTTATTTTCTTGTTTATTTAATTAATGATAGTTATAACCATTATCATGACTAGGGGTGAAAATCGAGTCGAGTAGCTCGCAAGCTAATCGAACTTGACTCGATGTTGGCTCGAACTTGACTCAAAATTAGTCGAGTTGAGTTCGAGTTTGAATAGTTCAAGTAGCTAATCGAGTCGAGTTCAATCACAGTAGAACTCAACTCGATATGTTCGCGAGTATTTCCAAGCTTGATGGTTAAGTAGATAGTTTTTAAAGTAATAGAGGTCATATGTAATTTAAAAGTTATAAAATTTTCAAATCCACCCTTGTTAGATGAGCTTGAAATTGAGCTCGAACTCGAATTCGATTAAAACTCGAATAAAACTTGACTAAAACTCGATTATACGAACTCGATTTCCAACTTCAAGTTCAAACTTGATTTCTTAGGCTCGATCAAGCTCGAACTCGAACTCGAACTCGGTACTGTAGCGATCGAGTTGAGTTCGATTTACCAGATACTCGACTCGATTACACCCCTAATCATGACAAATCTATAATATCGTGAAATACACTTATAAATTAAGAATAAACCTATACAAAAAAAGTTGGTAGAAATCTATTTGACAATTAATTTGATATAAATTTAGAATCCTAACTCTTTTAGTACACCATTATTTGTCATACTTGTACTTAAAACTTTCATTGTTTGAAGTAAGAAAAAATAGATAACACTAATTGGTAACACTAATTGATAAACACTAATCTATATATATATTTGACATATGTGGGATCTAGGCACATGATAGATGGATTTCCAAAGGTATTGTCTGCTTTAAATCTTGGGACTCACATGGTTTTATCCTGAAAAGGCGCATCTGGGTGGTGAGAGTATCCTTTGTGCTATATAAGTGACTAAGATCTTCGTCTCCTAATCGATTTGGGATTTTGACACCAACGATATATATTTTACAATCCTATGCAAGAAGATAAATTCTTAATATATATTTTATGTATCATCTTATTTAGTATTATCATATTATCAATAGTCACTACTTTATTTAATACACATTATTTGGTAAGAGAATTTTAGATGAAATGTAATCCATAATGCATACTAGATATCGTTTTTAGACAAATTTTCTTTTGAACTAGATATTTGAATGCCAAGTATGGCATGCAATAATCTATTTTTCAGTAGTGTACAATGATTCTTTCAGCATCATAATGCCATTTTTGCCTAAATTAGCAAGTGATGTTAGGAAGAAAACAAACACCGCAACAATAGAAGCTGAATACATGATCACTGTTGACTGTTGAGATATTTTTACTCGTTTTATTAACTTATTCTCTTGTAATTTTATACTCTTTAAAGAGAATTATTTAAAAAGGAATACAACTAATAACAAATAAAAAATCCTGATAGTGTGTCTTAATAAGAATTATACAATGTATCAGAGTGAAACTATGATTATTTTCAGACATTATATGTACAAGATTAGATATTGAGTTACGTGGTATATGTATTAATGCACATCTGGTTTGTGAATTAAAATACATTTTATGATGAAGCACGTTAAATTATTTATATATTCGTTAACTAAATAAAATTCTATCATATAGATGATAATTTGAAAAACTATAGAGAATAGATAAAATAAAAAGCTTTACGCAATCCACTTGTTTTCTTTTTTTTTTTTTTCTTTTTTTTAAGAAAAGGTAAATTTCATAAAAGAAGAGAAAATTATACAAAAAATTAGATACATACCCCTAGAAAATGTCTAAAGAATATCAGAACAGATGTATCTATCTTTTTGGATAAAATGATGGGAACAATCGCTCAAAAGGGAGCATACAGGCTCCAAATGAGGGAGATGGGCACAGGTGCCCTAATGAACTCGCAAGCTCAAACCAAATAAAAAAGAGAAACAAACGCAAGTGCCTAACAAGAGCGCACGAGATTAGAACAAACAAGACCAATTAATTGTATCCTTCACTTTGCCTAAATTGACATGAAGATTTTTTTAATAACAATTTTTTATTAAATAGTATAGCTTCTCATATCGTATAGTCTAAGTCCCTGGCATTTAGTATTAATTTATAATAACCTTATTTTATTTATTAGCATATTATATTAACACAGGGGTAGTAGTTCAAATAAAATTATATAGATTTTCTATTTTTGGATGTATTTTTAATTTACATGTAATTGCATGTATCAACATTTTGTATTTCTTTTATATTTATATGTACTTTCTTAATTTCATTAATAAAATCTCCTTATTAAGTCAGAATTCATAAATAAATAGCTAAATAACTTCCATTAATGGAATGTTTTAAATATATAAATTCCAAGTAGAATTTTAACAAAATAAATTATGTTATGTTGGCAAATGTAGTTCCAAATTCACCTGCATCTAGTTTTGTAAAAACACTAACTATAAAGTTCCCCCCAAAAATAGGCATACACCAGAAAAACGACAATAAAAGAAATCGGTTAGAAACGAAGGGTGAAACATGAAAGAAAGAGCGGCCGCGCCACCTTCCCGCCCTTGAATCTCTCGTTAAACTTCTGTAAATAACCATCTACCTGATTCGGTTGGGGTGGTGTGGTTTCACCCAATAAAACTGGTGTGGTTTCACCCAATAAAACTAAGTAAACAACCCTTTTAGGGTTCGGATTATATATACCCTATATATAATTTTACCCCATTTAACTATTATTCACACCTCCACCCGCGCGCTCAAGCTCCAAAAAGCTCAATTGTTCGGCGAGCCGCACCAACTACCGGCAAGTGTTGTTGTTGCGGCAGCCGGCTTTGGAAACAAAAAAAAAACCATTCGTAAAAGTTTCAATTTCATTGTGTATATTATTATTACATTGCTTTTTTGTGTTGTTAATAGAGATGGATAACGTTAATCAGAAGGATCATCATCGTGCAAGTTTGACGTCGTCGTCGTCTTTTTCGTCGTGGTCTTCGTCTTCATCTCCGTTAGAATCGCCGAAGTTAGGGCAGGAGTTGACGGAGGTGGATGAGTTGCAGCGGATGCCATTGGCTCCGACGTTGTGCAAGAACAAGAAGAGGTTGTCGAAGCAGCTGTCCATGTGTGAAACCCCGCGTGACATTGCATGGGAGAAGCGGCGGCGCCAGATTCTGAGGCAAGAGCGGAGAAAAACGAATGACAGTAATGATTCGGACCAGTCCTTGACTGATGAAGACTTGCATGAGTTGAAAGGATGCATTGAGCTTGGTTTTGGATTCAACGAAGAAGAGGGTCAGCAATTAACCAACACATTGCCGGCTTTGGACCTTTATTTCGCAGTCAACCGTCAGCTTTCTATCAGCCCCGTCTCAACCCCGCAAAGCGGCCGACATTCCACCTCCTCACTCGGTGGTCGTTCTTCCTCATTCGGTAGCCCAAGGAGCGATTCAGATTCTTGGAAAATTTGTAGCCCAGGTAAAACTTAATATCTCTATTAACTCATCTGGTTTGAAATTAAATTGTGAATCTCAAGCCAACAATTAACTTCTGAACATCAATATGTGTGTATGTTGAAGCCAATAATGTTACTGTTAATGACATTAAAAATGTCGCAACTTTGAAATTGGTATATGTTAATGGTTAAGTTTTGGATTGTTGCAGGGGACAATCCTCAGCAGGTGAAGACGAAGTTGAGACATTGGGCACAAGCTGTGGCATGTTCTCTGATGCAATCTTCCCAAAGTGACATTCCATGAATGAAATTGTACAAAGGATAAAGAATAAGAACTAGGAAAGAAGAAAACACTGAAGGAGGAGCCTGCAGGGTCTCTTTGATCGATTATGATGGAGGCCAATGATAAAGGTCCTGGCTGGGTTTAAACTAAATTAAATTAATTTACCTTTTGGTTTAAAGTCTCTTTTTTTTGACACCTCAAAACATGTAATATTTTAAGATCGGAGCTAGTGTTGATAACTTATACTCTTTTGAGGTGGGAAGCAATATGCAATTTGGTTGTAGCCATTTTGATCTCTTTCCGTATTAATCAGGATTGAGGTAAATGTAATGTTGATTAATCTTCAAACATTACTCTTAAGTTTAGTGTTCATAAAAAATTTAATTATACAATGAAGTTGATTTTTTTCTGACCCTCAATTCAATACCACTTTCACTCAATAAGTGTTCGTAAATATTTGTGATATTACGTTAACAATACTTCCATGATACCATATATATATTTCATTCTATTGAAGTCTTATTGGTTAGTAAAATGGGAAAAAATCTTAACAGTGTCTGCCTTGAATGTCACAGACGTATGTGGTGCTAGAGAGGTAGGGTCCGTAGGGAGGCTACCATGGCAGCCTCAAGCGAGAACCAGTACGTTGAAACTGAAATGCAGGACGATAGAGAGTCGTTGGAGGAGGACGAAGAGCTAATGCTGGAGACTTTACCGAGATTGCCATCGCCAAATCAAGGAAACTTGGCCGATGGAGTTGCTGGAGCTGAGACGAATGATGTGTGGAATTTGAGTCGAAGGTTTCGCCAGGTCGTTGTTCAAAACGCCATGGCCACTAATGATCAGGATAACTATAAACTTCTTTCTGCTATTAGAGAACGTCTCGATAGGTATTCTAGTATAGAAGATACTAGCATGCACTCACTCACGATAAGCCGGATAACAAAATATATTAACAACATCAATATTCCAGATTTTACTATGATAAAATATGTTACTTGTTATTTTATTGTGAGTTTATGCGGATGCTTGAAGGGTTGGATTGGAGGTGCCAAAGGTGGAGGTAAGGTTCCAGAACTTGAAAGTTGTGGCTGATGTTCAAACGGGGTCAAGAGCTTTACCTACATTGATTAATGTTACTCGTGATTTGTTCCAGGTAAGCATATTCACTTAGTTTTTACTTCCTGTATACATAGAAAGTGATTTCTGCTAAAGTATTTGTCTGGTTCGATCTTCTCTCGTAGACATAAGCCTTCTTATGAAAGGATTAATGACAATGATGCCAAACTTAGAGAATCCACAGTATTTGTCTATCATATGAATTAGACACCTTAATTTATTAACTTGATTGTGATTTGTTTTGGGTTGAATGCAGAGACTACTAAGTAGTTTGAGAATATTTAGACCTCAGAGATACTCTTTGAACATCTTGAACGACATCAGTGGTGTTGTGAAGCCGGGAAGGTACTACGGCTGAGCTCTTTCATGATTTATGAAGTCGTATAAAAGAAATAAATTTATTCATCATGACGTATATGTGCAGTGTTTTTGGTGCTCAGAGTTCATGGTACTTGAATAATTTTTTGGAGTTGTGTAGGATGACCCTGCTCTTGGGGCCACCTGGTTCTGGGAAATCCACCTTGCCTTTAGCTCTGGCTGGGAAACTTAGCAGGAACTTGGAGGTAGGTAAATTAGTTACTTGGTCTTGGTGCAATTCTCTGTACAGTAATTTCACAAACCACTGAATATATTGTTAATTTTGTAGTAGCTAACAACGATTATGGCCAAATGGGATAATATGAAAAATGGGAAATTAGAATAATTGATCACTCTCAGATCGCAGTTTTGAGTTGAAGATCACTTGTGTTCGCAGGAGAAACAATATTTTCATCTGGTGAAGCTTACAAAAAAATCTGAAAATTTTGAAATTGAAGGATGAAATTGGTTTTTGTTGACAGAAAAGTGGTGATATTACCTACAATGGCCACAAACTCCATGAATTTCATGTTCAAAGGACTTCCGCATACATCAGCCAAATGGATCATTACATTGCTGACGTCACTGTACGAGAAACCATGGATTTTGCTGCCAGATGTCAGGGTTCTAGTGATGCCTTTGCAGGTTAAGTTCTTCAGAATCCTACATATTCTTCATCATGCTCACTTTACCTGTTCGTAGCTTCTCTTTTAGAACAATTCCTTGTACACAAATTAATCTATAATTAAGAAAATGGAGTAGGATATGATCTCTCTACTTACTCTTCCAGTTACTTCTATATTGTTCAATTATTTGAAATAGATTATTTTAACTTTGCATTTAGAAAATCCTGTTGAGCTATTCATAGAGAATTGTTGATGCTTCTTGAAGTGATCTTATAAATTTTACAACTCGAATAAATTTCAATTTGCCTCACCGAGTATGTTTTCCGTTTCTCTTTTCCGCTTTTACTTGCAGGATATTTGAAGGATCTGATCCGTTTAGAGAAGGAAAGGAACATTCGTCCTNAATTTCACAAACCACTGAATATATTGTTAATTTTGTAGTAGCTAACAACGATTATGGCCAAGTAGGATAATATGAAAAATGGGAAATTAGAATAATTGATCACTCTCAGATCGCAGTTTTGAGTTGAAGATCACTTGTGTTCGCAGGAGAAACAATATTTTCATCTGGTGAAGCTTACAAAAAAATCTGAAAATTTTGAAATTGAAGGATGAAATTGGTTTTTGTTGACAGAAAAGTGGTGATATTACCTACAATGGCCACAAACTCCATGAATTTCATGTTCAAAGGACTTCCGCATACATCAGCCAAATGGATCATTACATTGCTGACGTCACTGTACGAGAAACCATGGATTTTGCTGCCAGATGTCAGGGTTCTAGTGATGCCTTTGCAGGTTAAGTTCTTCAGAATCCTACATATTCTTCATCATGCTCACTTTACCTGTTCGTAGCTTCTCTTTTAGAACAATTCCTTGTACACAAATTAATCTATAATTAAGAAAATGGAGTAGGATATGATCTCTCTACTTACTCTTCCAGTTACTTCTATATTGTTCAATTATTTGAAATAGATTATTTTAACTTTGCATCTAGAAAATCCTGTTTAGCTCTTCATAGAGAATTGTTGATGCTTCTTGAAGCGATCTTATAAATTTTACAACTCAAATAAATTTCAATTTGCCTCACTGAGTATGTTTTCCATTTCTCTTTTCCGCTTTTACTTGCAGGATATTTGAAGGATCTGATCCGTTTAGAGAAGGAAAGGAACATTCGTTCGAATCCAGAGATTGATGCTTTCATGATGGTTGTCATTTCAAGCTCTATCGCTATGTTTTTTTCTTTTATTATTTTGTGGGTCGTGTATTTACTAATCCTGATTTGTTTGTACATTTTACTTTACAGGCCTCTTCTGTGGAGGTGAAAAGCATAGTGTTTTAACAGACTATGTCTTGCAAATGCTTGGTCTTGATATATGTTCAGAAACAGTGGTCGGTGACGATATGCTTAGAGGTGTATCCGGTGGTCAGAGAAAAAGAGGTACTACAGGTGCTTCGTCCTGTTCATTTTCATAACATTTCTGTATGAAAATGATGTATTCCAACATAAGTTATTGTTGAGTGTTGTACTTCGCTTTGAATTACAACAGTTTTGAGTTTTGAATGATATTTGGTCAGTTCTGTAATTAGTAATCCGGTTTATATAATGCAGGAGAAATGTTTGTTGGACCAAGAAAAACCCTATTTACAGATGAAATATCCAATGGACTTGACAGCTCTACTACATTCAAGATTGTGAAATGTGTAAAGAATTTTGCTCAGCAAATGGATGCTACTGTACTAATGGCTCTTCTTCAGCCGGCACCTGAGACATTTGAGCTGTTTGATGACCTGCTGCTATTATCAGAGGGGTATCTGGTATATCAGGGCCCCCAAGCAGAGGTTTCAGAGTTTTTTGAGTCTTTAGGATTTCGATTGCCGGCACGTAAAGCGGTTGCAGATTTCCTTCAAGAGGTACTCTGTTACAGATTCTTATGACATTTAATATTTCTTTATGCTGCTTTCCTAACTCCTTCCTCCTTTCTTTTGCTTTCTTCTTTTGTTCGCTTAACAGGTGACTTCTAAAAAAATCAAGCTCAGTACTGGGCAGATCCCTCAAGACAATACCAATTCCTTCCTGTTTCAGAAATGGCAAATGCTTTTAAAATTTCCAACTATGGAAGGTCTCTACAGACCACGCTTGCTGTTCCATATGATAAATCTAGGAATCATCCTGCAGCTTTGTCCAAAACAAAATATGCTGTATCAAAATGGGAGCTCTTTAGACTATGCTTTGCAAGAGAAGTGCTGCTCATTAGCAGGCGTTGTTTCTTTTATATTTTTAGGGCATGCCAGGTATGTTTTCTCTGCTTCATTATCTTCCAGTGTAAACTGTTGAACAATACATGTCATTAACTATTTAGTATTTACTCTTTCTCTTCTTTTTTTTTTTGTTTCTTTCCCAATTATTAGCTTTTAAGCCAGTATTCCATACGTTTGAAGTTTCTTCTCTCATTGTTTTCCTATTTTATATCTCAATCATATGTTAAAGGTTGCATTTCTGGGATTCATCACATGCACCATGTTCTTAAGAACAAGACTACATCCCACAGATGAGGAAAATGGCAGCCTCTATCTCTCTTGCCTGTTTTTTGGGATGGTGCAAATGATGTTCAATGGATTTTTTGAGCTAACTATGACGATATCTCGACTCCCAGTCTTTACAAGCAACGGGATAATTTCTTTCATCCTGCATGGGATTGGCCTTGGTCTTTTGCCAAATGGACTCTCGGAGTGCCTTTCTCCATCATCTAGACTGTTGAATGGAGTTGTCTTGTGTATTATACAGTTGGTTTTTCCCCTGCTGCTTGTAGGTATTGCCTGATATCGATGAAGTTCTTACTCTTCACATTTTTTTTTTTTTTTTTTATGTTTCTAAGTTTTCTTAAATTGGATCAGATTTTTCCGTTACATGTTGTTGATTTTTTCCACACATCAAATGGCATTGAGTCTTTACCGCATGATGCATGCTACTGCCCCAGATATGGTCATTGCTAATACTTTTGGGGCATCTGCTATTTTATTTGATACTGCAAATTCAGGTCATGATCAATTAGTCATTTGGTGTTTCTTAATTCAGAAAAGATTGAGCCATGGTGGTCCTGGGCCTTTTGGGTGTCACCACTATCCTATGGGCAGCGTGCATTTTCTGTTAACAAATTTTCTGCTACAAGGTGGAAGGAGGTGAGCTGATAAACATGCTTTATGTTAGCTTTTGTTGCTTGCATATGAGTGAAAGATCAACAGTAAAATTTTGCAGAAATCTGCTATTGAAGACAACTCAGTAGGCTACAATGTTCTCCATTTGCATAGTCTACCTGATGATGATCATTGGTACTGGGTTGGAATTGAGGCTTTGCTACTTTATGCATTTCTTTTCAACAACATTCTGACAATGGCTCTGGCCTACCTTCATCGTAAGTAAAGGGAGGAGGATTATTTACTCCCTCTATTTTCTATCAATGAAATGTTGATTGTTTTGGAATAATTACTGAAGGAAATGTACTTATTGTTTTTGTTCATCACAGATCTTCGAAAAGCCCCAACAATAATTCCACTAGATGCCACAGAAGAAAATTCTGACAGAGAGGATTGTTAGTCATCTTTCATCTTCTTTAAATCGATGTTTATTTGTTTAAACAGTGGTAGCTTCTTTATTAGTCAATCCTAACAAAAAGGTTTTTAATCATTTAATTCTCATCTGATTATTCAGTGGCCAGTAAGAAGTTTGAAAGAAATACACGATCTGCTGAGGAGAGTTGATTCTGCCATTTCAACCATTAATAATGAGTTTCCATAACGTCAATTACTCTGTGGATATGCCCAAGGTGTGTTTTTATAGCCGTTTATATTTCCTTGACTTGTGTGTCCAATCTAATTTACTTTATATATTTATTTTTCTTTTTCCTTGGGGAGTTTCTCAGGCAATGAGTTTGGAAGGTGAACCAACAAAGAAGCTCCAACTCTTATCAAATGTGAGTGGAGTATTCTCACCAGGTGTTCTGATCGCATTAGTTGGGTCAAGTGGAGCAGGAAAGACCACGTTAATGGATGTGCTGGCTGGTAGAAAAACTGGTGGTTACATAGAAGGGGATATTAGAATATCAGGTCATCCAAAAGAGCAACGAACATTTGCTAGAATTTCAGGGTATGTTGAACAAAATGACGTACATTCTCCTCAGGTGACAGTTGAGGAGTCCCTTTGGTTCTCTTCTTGTCTTCGTTTGCCAAAGGAAGTTAGCAAAGATCAAAGAAATGTGAGCTGCATAACAATTGGTATGTTTTACATATCTTCTAGATGACTTGTTTTTACACTGATTTCACTACAACCTACTGCAGGTGTTTGTTGAAGAAGTAATGAGATTAGTAGAGCTTGATTCTTTAAGGCATGCTTTGATTGGTTTGCCAGATAGTTCTAGTTTAACAACAGAACAAAGAAAACGCTTAACAATAGCAGTGGAACTTGTTGCAAATCCTTCTATTATTTTTATGGATGAACCCACATCTGGACTTGATGCAAGAGCTGCAGCCATTGTGATGCGAACTGTTCGCAATACTCTTGATACTGGACGAACCGTAGTTTGCACCATTCATCAACCAAGTATTGACATATTTGAAGCATTTGATGAGATTGGTCAGCTTATAATCTTGTATGCAACTCTCTTATTTTTATTTTTATTTCAGTGAAAAGCTTTGTGTTCTCATGCACAGCTGCTGCTTATGAAACAATGAGGGGCAGGTTATATACGGAGGGAAGCTTGGGATAAACTCAAAGACTGCGATAGATTATTTGCAGGTGATATTCATTTGCCTATGTTTTTGGTGACAACTTCAATTTATTTCCTCATTTGCTCAAGTCACTGATAACAAAATTATTTAACCAAGCTATTCTTTTGTGGATATTTGAGGTTTGATTCCTAAAATCAGGATCCTGACTCTGGTTTATGTGTGCGAACTTTGTCCTGACACTCTTTTTCCTTGTTTAGGGGGTTCATGGAGTTGCTCCAATTCCATGTGGCTACAATCCAGCAACTTGGATGCTTGAGGTTACTACTCCTGCCGTTGAAGAGAAAATTGGAGTAGACTTTGCAGATGTATACAAAAACTCTGAGCAATACAGGTGATTTAATTGATATTATTTCCAACCAAGATGTGCTTACACCAAAAAAAATTATTTTCTTCTATGGTAATTTTTTTTTTTTTTTTTTTTTTTTTTGTGGATATTGCACATATTTACTGCAGGGAAGTAGAATATTCCATTAAAAATTTGAGTGTTCCACCTGCTGGCTCAGAACCATTGAAGTTTTCTACATATTCACAAGATCAGCTTTCCCAATGTTGGATTTGTCTTTGGAAGCAAAATCTTGTATATTGGAGAAGTCCTGAGTACAATGCTGTGAGGGTAGCCTTTACAATGGTGGCTGCATTGGTTTTTGGCTCCATATTTTGGGATGTTGGTTCACACAGGTAAATTTCTTCTCTGATCTCATTAACCGGGTTATGTTCAAATATTAAAGATTTATTGATGGTTATGGGAGCTCTGTATGCTGCATCCTTGTTTCTCGGGGTGAATAATGCTTCATCAGTGCAGCCTATCGATAAAATTCCTCAACTTCCAGAATCGATAATGCAGAAACCACATATAAAAAAGTGCCATATGATATGGACATGGTGACTGATGGAACTGAGGATAATCTTCTTCAGGTTGAATGAAAAGGCACAGTCTGAGTCTGATCATCGAAGTTCAGGCACAACCAATTTTGTATGCCTCCAGGAGCCTTCAAGATGTCTCTGGTTCACTAGATAAATTTAACTTCACATCCATATAAACACTTATTACACACCCCACCCCACACAATTTTGAATCAAATGGATTCCCCTTCAAGAGGGGATTTGATCCCTAGAATTCTTCAATTACAAAAAAAATTTTGTTAACATGTAGGGTAAGGAACAATATAAACTTCAATTTTGTCAACATGTACACTTTGATTTACAATTTGGTCATTGGAGAATTTTACTATTACTATTTTGAATTCTAGATGAAGCACCACCACCAGCTGTCATTCACAGACTTTATGTATTTTTTTTTTTTTATTATCATCAAGGTGTCCGATCGTTTGTGCGTATCTCAACTAATTCTTTAAGGTCTTGAAAGTATGATTGGCATATTTAGAATGTAGTATAAGAGAATTTGTGACTCCAGGCAGCCTATTTACTGTACAAATATTTCCCTCCATCTTCACTACCAAGTAGGCAAGTACCAATCCCTCTTTTCATAAAAATTAACCACCTTTCGTCATTCATAAATTACCCTTTTTTATAACATAGTTTATTCATAAATTACCTACCTAAAAATATAAAAATATAAATAAAATTTAGCACAGGGAGGGTGGTTGAATCAGAAACGGACAGTCGCATGGATCAAATCACGTGGACTCCTACAACACTTGTTAAGTCGTCAATTCCAATCATTTCAGATCTACAGCCTTTTTCACTTTCTCTTTTTTTATTTTTATTATCCATCAATCCAATCACTTTCTCTTCTTCATTCTTCCTTTGTCTCCTGATCAACAAACCCTAACTTCAATCATCGCCGCCTTTTGACGAATTTATATTATCTTTAATTCATATTTATTTGACTAATCCAAATCCCAGAATGAAAGAAGGCAAATCAGTTAAATTCAATCTTCAACAGCACCAGAACGGTCACTTGTCTCCTTTCAAATTCGCCAAGCTGTTGGATCCAGATGCGTCTTGGGACAAGGTAACTGATTCTTCAATCCTGATCCTTCTTTTTTTTGAACCATTGAAATTAATTCGGTTCAGAGATTAGTAACTCTCTACTGTTAAACCGTTATTGTAGTTATATATTCAATGTTTCTAATTTTTACTTACTGAATTGTTACTGATTGTTTTGTGTATATTTTTTACAGTAAAAAATCTAATCAAATTAAGGTCTCAGTGTTGTTTTATTAACATAATGAATTTATGAAATGTGTGTAATTAGAAAGCTTGGAATTACGTTTGAAGTTAATGATTGTTATGACTGATTTTGGTGCAGGATCAATTGGGAGATGTGCTGCATTGGATTCGACAAGTGGTGGCCATTGTTTGTGGGTTGCTATGTGGTGCTATTCCGTTGGTTGGAGGCATATGGATCGTCCTGTAAGTTGATGCTTACGCCCTCTCTATAGCTTTAGTAATTAATTGATAATTCTGGGTATTCTTCTACGATTTATTTGGAAGTGTCACTTGTAGTTAATTTTCTCTTTGTTTTCTTGTACATTTTCCTTCATTTTTTATTTTTATTTTTATTTTTTATTTTATTTTTTATTTTTTTTGCTAAAGTTTATTAGTATATTTGAAATGAAGCCATGATGTTATGAAATCTTTTGTCAGTCTGAATGCTATTGAGGGACTTTGTTGCATATTGATAATTAATTGCTTATTGTTGCTTTCAATTATGTGGACTGTTTGCTAGGTTGTTATGTACAAAATTGAAAGATCAAAGTGTTCTGCTTTTGTACATTTTGATATGATTTAATTGAAGGTCCTTCAAGGATAGGTTGAAAAGATACCTACAAACTTGTACGAACTATTAGTTAACAAATTATCATCCTTGGTGGAATAAATTCTATTGTTCGTTGGCAAAGGGGAATTTGTTATATAATATCTAATTAAGTATTCTAGAATTGGCATAGTAATTCATTTAAACAACCAATTCTCAAAGGTTATATCATATTCTTGAAGTATACATGATATTTCTTGGAAGTTGACTCTGGGACTGCCTTTTTTGAAGTGCTGGGAATGCCCACCTCTTCACATTTATGGGTTGCCTTTTAGTTCATTTTGAAGCACAGAATGAGTTGGTCCTGGCCCCTGAATAATATATACATTGTCATGTTTACAGATATTGTGTTCTCTTTAAAGGAAAAATATAGGTGTTTTTTTTTTCTTTCTCAATGGAGCTCAGTGTGAAAAGTGTAGGTGCTGAGTGAAGATTCTCATCTTTATGGTCTTTAATTTCCCTTTATTTCCAGATTCGGGGGTTTAATGCTGCAAACTTGTACTTGAAATGGATGTGGTGCTTATCATCTCCTCTTTTGTAGAGATTTTTTTAAGCAAATCAAGGTTGTCGTTATAGTATCATAACATACTAGTGCTAAGTCATTTAGAAACTGTGATGATCAACATCTTTGCATTATTATATTTTGTAAGCTTTATTTGCTAATATTTTGGTTTCAATGATGGTTTTGCAGTTTTTTGGTGATATCATCTGGGATTATTTATGGTTATTATGCAATGCTACTAAAGGTTGATGAAGAAGATTTTGGTGGTCATGGAGCTCTCCTCCAAGAAGGGCTTTTTGCTTCTATAACTCTCTTTCTGGTACTTGTAGCATTTCAACTCTGTTTATTTAGCTTTTACAAAAAATGCTGCTTGCCCACAGAACCAGAAGAAGGTCCTTTCCTGGTCTTAGAAGTTAGAACTAACCCTTGTTCCATTTTTTTGCTGTTCAGTTGGCATGGATTCTAGTATACAGCTTGGCACACTTTTGATTGGCTTGGGACAATTGATTTGGCAGCCCTCCTTGTCTCTAAGTGATGTTTGAACAATCAATCTTAGTTAAATGAGGCAACATTGCCTACGCCCTCAGAAAACAGTTAGAACGTTACTTGCCATAATTATTTGCTTTTCATTTTTTAATTGTGCCAACATTTTGATTTTGCAGAGCATGAACATGTTAGCTTTTAGTCCATAGGAAAACTTTCATGAACTTTGTGCGCTAATTAGCTGTTTATGGTTTGCATATGTTTGCATACTTAAATGATAAGCAAACTCTGAAGCACACTATGTTTTTCAGCACGTCAAATATAAAAATTACTTGTGAGTTAATGGAGCAATTGAAATTCTGACTCTGAAAATTACGCATGCCATACCCTTGTCTCTCATTTTTTTGAGTTGTGATGAAACCTGCTTTGAATGTGATCAGAAAAGGGCAGATTTCAACAAGTTGGTTTTGGATTATTTAGCTTCATTTGTAATTGTTTTGTATTTGTAGAATGAGCTAATTCTTATATATATATATATATATATATATGGAAACTACTACACTTACCAATTCTGTAGACCGACTTCCCATTTTGACTGATGTGGAGTTCAATGTGAGGAGTCCTCATGCCGACCGCACTCCACATCAGTCGGTATGGGGAGTCGGTCTGTAGAACCGGTAAGTATAGTCTTACTCTATATATTGTATATATTAACTTCGCTTTTACATTTTACTCGTCGAAACAAAGCATGTCATATGAATGGGTAATGCTATTTGACCAAACTCTTATACCAGTCGCATGGATCAAATCACGTGGACTCCTACAACACTTGTTAAGTCGTCAATTCCAATCATTTCAGATCTACAGCCTTTTTCACTTTCTCTTTTTTAATTTTTATTATCCATCAATCCAATCACTTTCTCTTCTTCATTCTTCCTTTGTCTCCTGATCAACAAACCCTAACTTCAATCATCGCCGCCTTTTGACGAATTTATATTATCTTTAATTCATATTTATTTGACTAATCCAAATCCCAGAATGAAAGAAGGCAAATCAGTTAAATTCAATCTTCAACAGCACCAGAACGGTCACTTGTCTCCTTTCAAATTCGCCAAGCTGTTGGATCCAGATGCGTCTTGGGACAAGGTAACTGATTCTTCAATCCTGATCCTTCTTTTTTTTGAACCATTGAAATTAATTCGGTTCAGAGATTAGTAACTCTCTACTGTTAAACCGTTATTGTAGTTATATATTCAATGTTTCTAATTTTTACTTACTGAATTGTTACTGATTGTTTTGTGTATATTTTTTACAGTAAAAAATCTAATCAAATTAAGGTCTCAGTGTTGTTTTATTAACATAATGAATTTATGAAATGTGTGTAATTAGAAAGCTTGGAATTACGTTTGAAGTTAATGATTGTTATGACTGATTTTGGTGCAGGATCAATTGGGAGATGTGCTGCATTGGATTCGACAAGTGGTGGCCATTGTTTGTGGGTTGCTATGTGGTGCTATTCCGTTGGTTGGAGGCATATGGATCGTCCTGTAAGTTGATGCTTACGCCCTCTCTATAGCTTTAGTAATTAATTGATAATTCTGGGTATTCTTCTACGATTTATTTGGAAGTGTCACTTGTAGTTAATTTTCTCTTTGTTTTCTTGTACATTTTCCTTCATTTTTTATTTTTATTTTTATTTTTTATTTTATTTTTTATTTTTTTTGCTAAAGTTTATTAGTATATTTGAAATGAAGCCATGATGTTATGAAATCTTTTGTCAGTCTGAATGCTATTGAGGGACTTTGTTGCATATTGATAATTAATTGCTTATTGTTGCTTTCAATTATGTGGACTGTTTGCTAGGTTGTTATGTACAAAATTGAAAGATCAAAGTGTTCTGCTTTTGTACATTTTGATATGATTTAATTGAAGGTCCTTCAAGGATAGGTTGAAAAGATACCTACAAACTTGTACGAACTATTAGTTAACAAATTATCATCCTTGGTGGAATAAATTCTATTGTTCGTTGGCAAAGGGGAATTTGTTATATAATATCTAATTAAGTATTCTAGAATTGGCATAGTAATTCATTTAAACAACCAATTCTCAAAGGTTATATCATATTCTTGAAGTATACATGATATTTCTTGGAAGTTGACTCTGGGACTGCCTTTTTTGAAGTGCTGGGAATGCCCACCTCTTCACATTTATGGGTTGCCTTTTAGTTCATTTTGAAGCACAGAATGAGTTGGTCCTGGCCCCTGAATAATATATACATTGTCATGTTTACAGATATTGTGTTCTCTTTAAAGGAAAAATATAGGTGTTTTTTTTTTCTTTCTCAATGGAGCTCAGTGTGAAAAGTGTAGGTGCTGAGTGAAGATTCTCATCTTTATGGTCTTTAATTTCCCTTTATTTCCAGATTCGGGGGTTTAATGCTGCAAACTTGTACTTGAAATGGATGTGGTGCTTATCATCTCCTCTTTTGTAGAGATTTTTTTAAGCAAATCAAGGTTGTCGTTAATAGTATCATAACATACTAGTGCTAAGTCATTTAGAAACTGTGATGATCAACATCTTTGCATTATTATATTTTGTAAGCTTTATTTGCTAATATTTTGGTTTCAATGATGGTTTTGCAGTTTTTTGGTGATATCATCTGGGATTATTTATGGTTATTATGCAATGCTACTAAAGGTTGATGAAGAAGATTTTGGTGGTCATGGAGCTCTCCTCCAAGAAGGGCTTTTTGCTTCTATAACTCTCTTTCTGGTACTTGTAGCATTTCAACTCTGTTTATTTAGCTTTTACAAAAAATGCTGCTTGCCCACAGAACCAGAAGAAGGTCCTTTCCTGGTCTTAGAAGTTAGAACTAACCCTTGTTCCATTTTTTTGCTGTTCAGTTGGCATGGATTCTAGTATACAGCTTGGCACACTTTTGATTGGCTTGGGACAATTGATTTGGCAGCCCTCCTTGTCTCTAAGTGATGTTTGAACAATCAATCTTAGTTAAATGAGGCAACATTGCCTACGCCCTCAGAAAACAGTTAGAACGTTACTTGCCATAATTATTTGCTTTTCATTTTTTAATTGTGCCAACATTTTGATTTTGCAGAGCATGAACATGTTAGCTTTTAGTCCATAGGAAAACTTTCATGAACTTTGTGCGCTAATTAGCTGTTTATGGTTTGCATATGTTTGCATACTTAAATGATAAGCAAACTCTGAAGCACACTATGTTTTTCAGCACGTCAAATATAAAAATTACTTGTGAGTTAATGGAGCAATTGAAATTCTGACTCTGAAAATTACGCATGCCATACCCTTGTCTCTCATTTTTTTGAGTTGTGATGAAACCTGCTTTGAATGTGATCAGAAAAGGGCAGATTTCAACAAGTTGGTTTTGGATTATTTAGCTTCATTTGTAATTGTTTTGTATTTGTAGAATGAGCTAATTCTTATATATATATATATATATATATGGAAACTACTACACTTACCAATTCTGTAGACCGACTTCCCATTTTGACTGATGTGGAGTTCAATGTGAGGAGTCCTCATGCCGACCGCACTCCACATCAGTCGGTATGGGGAGTCGGTCTGTAGAACCGGTAAGTATAGTCTTACTCTATATATTGTATATATTAACTTCGCTTTTACATTTTACTCGTCGAAACAAAGCATGTCATATGAATGGGTAATGCTATTTGACCAAACTCTTATACAAAGAGAGTTTGTATAAACTGACATGGTATTTCATAAAGCATGTCATATGACATTGAGACTCACATAAATTAATGTCACATTAATGTTATGTGAGCTCTTATGTTACGTGACACTCATATGATGTGTCACGTTACTTTGTACAAACTTTCTTTGTACAAAAAGCTTGTAAAGATAGTTTTATCCCTTATAAATATGTATAAATTACTTAGTAAAAGGAGTTGTATGACTATGCATTTATAGAAGGATTCACTTCCTTTATTTCCACCTTTGGTTGTGATTAATATTTACTCCCTCTGTTTTTTTTTTTTAAATGTTGTTTTGAGGGTGTAATTTTTTTTCAAATTAAATGTCGTTTGTCTTGTCTGTGATAATAGGAGAGAGAAAATGACTATATAGATATATAATTCAATATGTGCAGCGAGATATTTTTTTCACCTGCAAAATCAGAGGAAAAAGTCAGGTGTGAGAGAGATGAATTTTTTTCATTAAAAGTTGTGTATAAACTTAAAAAATCATTTATATTGAAATGGAGGGAGTATAAAAAGAAAAAAGGTTCCTGCCTTTAACCCATTTTAAAGTGTATTCAACTTGTTCAATAAACAATGAATACCCCCGAAGTAAAAGGAAACGCCCAAAATGTACCACATTCAATTAATTGATTTGTAGAGCGCAATAATTTCACAGATTTGATTGCATATTACTCTCTTCATTTCAATATAAATGACTTTTTAAGTTTGTATGTAATTTTTAATGAAAAAAATTTATCTCTTTCACCTGACTTTTTCCTCTGATTTTGTAGGTGGGAAAAGCTTTGCTCTCATTTGTAGGTGGGAAAAACTTTCCCGCAGCACACATTAAATTATTTAAATAATTTAATATATATATATATTGTTATTGTTATTTTCTCTCTCCTATTATCACAGACAAAAAAGCGACATTTAATTTGAAAAAAAATTACATCCTCAAAACGACATTGAAAAAAAAAAGAGTATCATTTTTTATTCGGATTTTCAACCTTTATATTTAAGTTAATCTTGAAACTTACATTATGTTGACAAATATTATTCCATTTTTCCTCTATTTCCATCTCACTCGTCTTTTCTCTCTCTCCTATAGAGGTGGGCAAGGGACCGGTCCCTTGCGAGCCCAGGTCTGGGCCCGTTTGGGATTGGTCCCAAATGGGACCAGTCACTCATAGGCTTGGGACCTGTCCCAGGCCCATGAGAAAAACTAAGACCCGGACCAGGCCCTAGGCCTGGTCGGGACTGGTCCCATGGGCCCAGGACCGATCCTAAGATCGGTCCCATGGGCCTTGGATAATTTCATTTTCTTCCCTCAATTTTTTTTATATTTTGGGGGTAAAACGAAATTTTATAGAGGGTTTTTAATATTTTTTAAAGGTAAAATTTATAAATTTTATAAATTTTTTAGATCTGGAAGATTTTTTTTTTTTATAAATTTTGTAAAATTTTATTTTAACCCTCGTAATTTATATTTATTTTAAAATTAATAGAGGGTTTTATATAATTTGACAAAGGACTACATTAAAAAAATACAAAAATTTTTGGGCCCGCGTCTGGGACTTGGAGGAGGACCCAATGGAGGACAAATGGGACCAGACCTCCTAGGTCTGATCCTCTCAAGGAATGGTCCTAGGACCGAGTTTTAGAGCTGAGCTTTTGGTCCCGTCCCAAATGCCCAGCTCTACTCTCCTAAACTAAATTATGTTGAAAATTTACTGGGCTAGATTTATGATGTAAAGAAAAAAAATTAGTGCTATCAGCTATGCACTTTAATTAATGATAAAATGAATGTTACATAGATGACCGTATAATTTAATACAAAATCAAATCAAACCAATTACATGTAGTTAACTAAGAAAATTTTAAAAAGCTATTAAGAATACAACATTAACTAGTAACTTTATTTCTTTTCTTTTTTCACCAGAGAAATCAACTTTTACGGTTTTTACTTGCATCTTAAAAGTGAGTTAATTCTACAGTAAAAGATATCCAATAGGTCACTCTTCTGTCAAATATACCCCCATCGCTCAATATAATTACAAATTGCCCAAAAACAGGCAGGAAAGAATTATGCTTTCTATACATAGTGAAACAGAAATTGCATAGACATCTTACATCCATATTTGGCGTCTGTTTATCCTCGATAGAAGATATATACGACCATAAACCCACTGTCTACCTAGTCTCGAACTTGATTCCTGCACAATTTGGAGACATATACATGTTAAAAAGAGTATATGATTCTTCTCTTAAGACTATAATTTGATCAAGTCTTAAGAATTTAACTTAGCGTTTTGCTACTCATTTAAATGAGAAAGGGCAAATAGATTTTGCCTCATAAAACATACATTTTGCAGAACTACAGAAGTGAACTTAATTACCTCAAACTTTGTGCGGAATTCTAGTAAGGATTCACATACATGACAGTCTGCTCTATGTGGGGACTCGTTGGTTTGATCTGACCTCACAAATGCAAATACCTGTAGGAAAGAACTAAGACCAGTCAGGAAGAATGGATCTGAGGTTGGACCATGTAAAATTCTCGTCGAATCAAGACTAAAGCTTTCAGTCTATATATGCCAGATCGTGGGAGATTCAACATGTAGGTACAAAAGCAAGATGAAAAGAAAAACAAAATATAATAGCTTCTACAAGTTATAGACTCTTAGACTCACAACAAGCTAATATTTGTTAGGAACTGACCTCTTCTCCGCAATTTGGGCATGCCCCTTTCAATGCCACCAAGTCATTCCTCCACAGGCCTTGAAGCACTCTAACTGCAAGAATTGGTGTTTTAGTAAGTAACATGCATCAAGAGAAATGAATAAGAACATTATCTATATATAGATCCCTATTAGACCAATGGAAATTCTATAGTTTATATTTCCATTGTGTATGCAAAATAAGCATCAAAATTTTTACCAGAAGCTGAGGCAACTGGATAGCCAATTAAAGCACCCACTGCCATGAAAAGAATGACATTTGCCATTGCAAGAAACCCCGACACAGATGCGTGACTACCATAGGAAATTCCCCGACTGAATGCATCCTGATATGCTAGAACCACAGTGTAGATCATTGGCACAAGACATATAGAACTGCCAATACCAAAAATCATCATCCATATGCTCGCTAATGCAAGGACCTGTGATAGATCTTCCTGCCCTACATCCATGTCAACTCAATATTCACAGGGAGAAAAGAAAAATACAGTGCTCCTACTCACTAATATGCTATAATTATGTGCAGATAAATTGTCAATGATTAATTATGAATTATGAACCAAACTAAGAAATCCATTTAGCATAGGACATCAGTCATCCTTTTCTCACCTTGAGAAAAAACTAAAAGTTTATGGCAGTTACATCCATTCATGGAAATAAAGAGTGAAAAAGAAATTGCTCTAGCAGGATGCAATTTTGCTCCCTGCTAAAATCTTTTATTTTATTTTATTTTCCCCACAACTCAATGGTTGCTAATTGAATTGAATATGATATAGATGACTATTTTCTACCTCTCCCTCTCCTGCTCTCTCATTTTTCATTTTTTCTTTGTCTTTCCAGATTTTGGAAACATACCAAAATATGGAAAAACAGTAATGATTTTGATAATAGAGTTGATAGTAAACTCAATTCCATTGCCAATGTAAATTTACGATGATAAACTAAATAATTCTAGAGAGAATTACCTCCGCATCTGCATATGTTGACTGTCGCCGAATACTACAACGAGGATACTTAACAACAGATTTGGAGCCATACCACCGCAACTTTAACTGTTTCAATAAAAATGCAAATTGTTGTTTACCATTACACACTCTAGATATCATTTACATCCAAATAAAACCACTAATATGGCATATTAAGTTACCTCCACTCTATCAAACATGTCGTCAACTATCAAAGGTTCACCACTGTAATACGCATCCCGAGCCTAAAACAAGATCAACCAAACGGATCAAAAGAGCTTTTCATTATTCCTACATGTACTATAAAAATAAATAAATAAAATAAAAAATTATTATTATTATTACCCCAGAAGAAAAGACCCAGAAAGGCTATCATATATTGTTTCTCATGCATGAAATTTCAAAAAACTATGATTATAGGCTAATTTTAACAAGGTGAACAATGATTATGATTCAATTCCGCCAAAACCTTTAAGAACAGTCCCGTTTAACCATAACACATAAATTTGACAAAAAATAATCCCCACTATTCATAACCAAAACTCCACTTATGGGCGAACGCCAAATTTCTAATCAACGGCCTGTTTGATTCGTAATAGATAAACAATTTTTTGTTTTTGAAAGATGAAAATCTCACAAGGATTGGTAGCTTTAAAACTTTTCTGCCAAACAATCTTAAAAACAAGATTAAAATCTAAAATAACCAAAAAAAACAAAATATTACTTTTGTTCCTTTTTGTGATATTATAGTTTCTTGATTTGCCTCAAAATTATAATCAAAAGCCCAAAACTGTCTCTAGTTTCCAAAACTATATCTGAATAGGGAGCCAAACACCGCTAGCACACCTTTATTACTCTGAATTAAAAATTATTAAGAATTGAAAATCTTATATCAAAACCTAATTGAAAAAATAGTAGAAATAACAATAATAAGAATCCATTTAACAATTACAAAAACATTATAAAAAACTAAAACGCGTCCACAAGGCAAGTATTTCATAGTTACAACCAGCGATATGAATTGTAAACACTTTACCCTCAATTTAAAAAAAAAAAAAAATTGGATTAAATTAAAGAAGTTTCTAAATTAACTAAAATTGACCTAAATGAAGACTATAGAAACATAAATTAGCAGAAAGAAATTTATAATTTACTTGTCGATAGAGAGCTTCAAGAGTTTCTTTACTGGCGGTCTCGATAGGTCCGACGTATATGCACGATGGACCTTCCTTGTTGTTACACGTGGCGGCGGAGGCCACGGTGGCTCCGTGGCTCTTCGTGGATATCCGAACCGAAAAAGGAGCTCCAGTTCTGCCGTTTCGAGATAATTCGATGACAGTGGATCCGATCACGTGAGGCGCGATGGAGTTGCACGTGCCGGCCATGAACCGAACAGTAGAGCAGCCACGCTAGTGCAGTGATAAACTGATAATAACAGGGTAGCAAATGGTTTGTACAGTAGGAGGAGGAGAAGCGTGTGATATCAGCCACAAGATTCGGAGAGGAACGTGTTGGGTTATCTAATGGACGAGATTGCCCTTGAAGTTCTCGTTTCGTTTTGGCGCGGAAATATCTTGTGGATTGATTGATTAATTGTTGCTGATTTTTATTTCCTACCGTGGATCATGATTGGTCCTGGATTTATTTAGTTTTTGCCAGAATAGAAGAAAACAACGACGTGCCGTATTCGGTGTCTGTTGAAAATGAAAACAACGACTTGTCGTATTATGTATCAATGTATGCTTGAAGTGAAAACTAAAATAAATAATGAAAAAAATACTTTTGTTATACCTAAAAAATCACGTTTATGTCAGTCCAATAAATGTCTTTTTGTACTAGCTGTCAAACTCATATCTCTTCAAAGATATTCATATCAACCCTATCACATTTCAAGAGATGAATGGACGAGAATCTTCCATGTGTAAATGCAACTTGCAAAACACTCATTATATTTACCTCAAAGGTGTATAAATTGATACTTCTCTTCTCGAAAAGGGAGGCTGGGCATATGATTTCCGATTTCTAGTATTGTTTTGTATTGGAACTTAATGGCAATGTATGTAACTTTGATTAGGAAACAACACCTGAGAACACAAAAATGCCAGAAGTGGCCATTGTGGTAGACTTAAGAGACCAAAAATGATGCGACTGATCGTCAACAGCTCCAAGATGAAGCTGTTGAACCTGAGGTAGTTCAGAATCTGAAATGCACCCCATTGTTGTTATCAATCAGGAACATTGTGTGAGATAATGTGAGACACAAAATATTTAAGGCTAGTTTTGTTAGTGCTGAATGTTTATGTGTTAGGTGATGCATAACTAAATCTTCTATTCTGCATTCATTTTCATATTTTTCATTGATAATATTTGTGATGTTTGGCATTATGGTATGCTAATGTGGTCATGGATGATTGTGAATGTACAAAGTCTGATGCAATATAGTTTTGTTTATTGCTCGCAATTAGTTTTCATATATATAGTTATGATCTTGGAATTAATTTTGGTGGTCCTATACATGCAATTTAATAACTTTTGGCCTTTCACTGTTCTATATTTGACTCTATTGGCATTTGTCGAAAGGTATCTGTTTGTTCTTCTATTTTGGTGATATGGTCTAATGACGACAGAGGGAGCCACAAAAGATTCCAAAAGGTGTTCTTCATCAATTATGCCAAAGAAAATAGTTTTTGTTATTCTGTTAGTGTAAGCATTGTTGCTTTAGATTGCTGCATTTTATGCAGAGTCCATGATTTTTGTGCAACTGGTGCAGATTGGTGGGTGATGGAAATGAAGCCTAAGCATGTTGTAGTTTTTGCACTTGCAGATTGAGCAAGTGTGCAGGTTGTAGTTTGTTTCTGCAGTTTCCAAGAGTCTTGGGTAGTATGTGCAAGGTGGTGTGTGCTAGAATTGAAGTAGTGATTTGGACAGTGGTGTGTATGGAGCTGTAGCGTGATTGCTGCATTTTCTGCAGTTTCTGGCTGAAGTCTTCAGTTTGGTTGTCTTGTCACTTTTGTTTGTGTTGCTTTTGTGTATAAGGATTGTATATCCTTGCTTGGTCTTTTTCTTTTTGTGTAGTGGGCTTGGGCATGTCCTAAAAAGAATTACATTGGCTAACAATAACACTACATATACATTACTCCCTTACAACATTACATGGCAGCTGACATGGCAGATGCCACCTCATCTGCCACGTCATCCAGATGTCATGTCACTTCCCTCCAAAAATTTTAAAAAAAAAAAAATTTCCTTACAAGGCTGTAAAGTCCACTTCCATCACTTCCATTGGTGTTCGTGGAAGTTGGATGCTCATGTTCATCAGCTGCAGGGCAGCAGCTCCATTGATTTATGTTATAATACTAAATTAATGGCTTTCTAAAGGAAATATGCACACTTGCTTCAATGGAATTCAGTCTTTTAACATCTGTATATTTTGTTTTGTTTCAGTTTCTGGAATTCTGTGCTCCTTGGCTATGGTTAGTCTTTCTTCTCTCTATTTATATCAACTCAATTAATGGTGTAAAGGAAATTGCAGACTAGAGTAATTATGGAATATTTATGCTAATAAACGATTGGAAATTCTGCCTTTTGTTTTGGTGTAATAGTACTTTACTAACCTATTTTTTCATAAAAAAATTAGATTACTTTTTAAAGGTGTTTGTGCAGTTTGTGTAGCTTCTGTAATTTGTGCAGTCTGTGTAGCTTATGTAGTTTGGGCAGTGTGTGTTGTATGTGCAGTGTGTGCAGTTAGGCTAGCTGCTCCCCAGAAGTTGGTGCAACCTGGGTTGTTTGTGTAGAATTGTTGGAGGTGCTGCGGCAGTTTTATAATTAAAAAAAAAAAAGAAAGATAAAAAAAATTAAAAAAAAAAAAAAAATTAAAAAAATTTTATTTGCTGCCACTGGGATATTTTGCAGCTGAAGTAGCCTGTGCAGTGTGTGCTACCTTGATGTCTACGGAGTGTTTGGCGATTGTGTGGCCTGTTGGTGTTGCTGCTGCAGTTTGGCCTGTTGGAGGTGCTGCAATTGTTCTATACCTTTGGCAGTGTGTGCAATCTTCGGGTGGTTGTTGCAGCTTGTGTAGTCCATGCTGTTTGTGTGTTTTTGTGTTGTGTCTGGGATTTCCAGCCACTTTGTACACTAGTGCTTGCTGGTTTTGAAGCTGGTTTTCTGGCTTGGTTTGCTGATCATGATACTTGGAGCTGGTTTGCCGATCATGATATTTGGAGCTGGTTTGCCAGTAACTTTGAGTTCAAATTTTATCTGAATATAGAAGATTTCGAAAGCTCTTCTTAATGATGCTTTAAGTTTATTAAAATACTGTTTATTTCTCCTTATTTTTTTTGGTTTTTAGCTCCCATTGTTTGGATTTTTCTTCCTTTACTGTAATTCGATATCTTAAATATGTATCGATATGTTTATATGTTTATATATTATGATGATATGTCTCTAAAAAAAATAGAGCTTCTTCTGTATCATCACTGTATAGTCAGTATGTATGTTGAGAATTGGATATAGCCAAGCAAGACTTATTAATTTTAATGGTAATTAGAGTCTATCATTTAGATGGAAAGTTAGAAATATATACTTTGTTGGTATAGTTTTATGGGGAAGAGCACAACATGCAAGAGATATAATTTATGCAGCTCCAACCAATAAAATTATGTGTATTCACCATCAAATTTGATGTGTTAATCCGTGAATAAATTCTAGCATTTGCGCGCTTCTGCTCAAACAATTGTATACCTATTACCTAGTGCCCATTATGTAGGCCTAATCCCATGGTCCCCGTGGACCTTATAACAACTGGCTACTCCCCTTCTATGGTCAATTATTTGCAGTTCCCTCTCCTCTGAGAAATACTTATAGAAACCACCAACTCAGTCAGTTGACGACCATCACTTCAACCTTAACAGTAAGTCACTGAAGTTGTTAATGAATATTAACCATACAGTCAATCAGATTATGGCTACTTCAAACACTATCATCAGAACTTAATTTAGAAATTATGAACTCGTTTCATTACTTGAAATAGTAGTAAATTATGGACTTATTTCATTACTTGAAATGGTAGTAAATATCCTTTAACATGCATGAGAATCTAGCTGAAGATAAGAGTTCTATGATCATTATAATCACACTGCATGAGTTTTTATCTATGACCCACTACACTAACAGGTAAAACTTTAAAGATTCAACTAAGCGAGGCTAGCATCCCTAGATTCAACACCAGCTGCCTGTTCTTGATTAACTGCTTCACTCCATCAAGTTCCCTCCAGAACGCCCATCCTTGGACTCATTTAAAGGAGAATAACAAAAGTTTAGCTCCAAACCTGAATGCCATCAAAAATATTTCCCAGTATTCCAGGTCCCCACTCAACTGACAGGCTGTAACATCAAAATATATATGTAAGCTATTGCAGTCAACTCAAGGGTCTAAAAAAAGACTCAAACAAAGAATATTTCTACAAACAAATAAAGTTTCTAAAAGAATGACATCAAAATAACATAATGCAACCCAAATGGGGATGGGCATGGCCCGGAGCGGGGGCGGGGGCCTCTGTCTCCAGGCCCAACCCAAAAGCCCAATGGGATTCCCCTATCCCGGCCCGAAGCCCGTTCGGAGAATCCTTGAAAAAAGCTCATTCCCTGTTTGGAGGTTTTCTGTCTTTTTGTATCCTTATTAGTTTTATTATCATTTTCTCCAAATTATATATACCAACCAATATATATATAATATACATATTAAACATAAAAACCATATCATCAAAAAAGAAATTAAATCTATAATATACATATTATATATAAAAACCATCATACTAAATTAATAATATATTACAATATGTGACAGATCTATAATCAAAAGATTCAAATCATGATAGTATCAAGATTCAAAACTTGATCTGCCAAAAAGACCCACCCCACAATCCACATCAGTATTTCAATAGATTCAATACATTATAGTATCAACTATCAAGATTCAACAACCAACAGACAACACCTAACATTCCATTTCCATGTGCAGCCCACAAACAACCTATAGACAAATTTTAGATTATTACAAACCTAAAAAAAATCTAAACCATATTAAATTGCATACAATTAAAATATGGAGAAATAAACCTGTCACATATGAATTCCAAAACTTTTCACCAAAAGTATCCATATCATTAAAATTATTCCACTTCAATTTCCTCCTAAACAAGTGAAAAATATAAATTAGATGATATTTAAGTAACATGTACACAAATTTTAACTATCATACAAATGATTAAAGAAGAGGAAAGAAAAAGAATATATTACAAAATACAAATCTATAATACCTGATCGTCTGCATCACTGTTATCATAAATTGATGAACCATATCCTAGCCCTGGGCCTAACATAACAATAAAAATAAACATTAATAACTAGCATATGTTAATAGGTTTTTTTAATTTTTAATGTAGAAGAAACAAAAATTTCTTTTTATTTACCTTTGATGTCAACCCATTTCCAATTCCTTAAACACATCAATGCCTCTATTGTATCAGAATGAAGCCTATTACGATGTGGACTCACCATGTTGCCAGCAATGCTAAAT